GGGAGAGGGGGCTGGGGTGGGGGGCAATATGGTGAGGGCAGTCTGGGAAGATCAGGGAGGAGTGAGGACAGCCTCAGGGCCAAGAGGAGAATTGGGTGGTCTGGAAGGGAGAAACCGTGAAAGGTGAGACAGGCTACCTAAGAGGTGGGCAGAGCACACCCTTGGAGGAGGTGACAGTTAAACAGGTCTGGGTGGGGATAGGGAAGGACCATTGCAGAAGGGGTCCAAGAACCAGGAAGGAGCCGGGAACATAGGGAGAGAGGAGGGTGGTCATAGCAAACTCGGGACACCAGTCTCTCCGGCACTGTTCTACCTGCTTTAATCCAGTGATATGTAAATGAACTCGTTTGCTCTTGCAACAGCTCTGTGAGGTGGGTATTAACATCCCTGTTTTATAGGTGAGGAAACAGGCCCTGAGATGATTGTGCAAGACCTGAACAGGTGGGGAGCCTGGATTCACACCCACGCAGCCCCGCACGGGGCTGCTGAGGTTGGTGTCTTCTGGCCCAATTCAAGGGCTTGCTTCCCAACACCACCCGGGACAGTTAGAATTCAGAGTCTGTCGGGAAAAAAGAAAAGTTCTGTGATTTCAGGAGCAAGCCACATATTTCATGAGGGTATACGGTAGACGTGTTTACAAAGGATCATTGTTTAAAATACCAACCAGTTCTCAACTACTTGATATCATCCCTCCCTCTGCCTAAACATCACCTCTGTCTGTCTGTCTGTCTCTCTCTCACAAACACACACACACAGGCCCAAGGTTCTTTGGTTTTGATTTAGATCCTTTCAGCCTCAAGGTAATTTCGTCACACTAAGCACTGCCTTTATTTTGCACTTGACCATTTCCCCAAGTCCTTTGGCAAACACAGTGTGGCGCTTCCCTGTGGTGCAGGTTATCAGCCCTGTTTGCAGTTAAGGAGATGATTACTGGGGCACAGCTCCACAGAATCGTGCTCACGGGTGATAAGACACAAACACGAGGTTGGGGTGGTGTGGTCTTGGCCACTGTGGCTAAGATTAGTCCAGAGCTTTCTGAGCAAAAGGTCTGGAAATGGGGAGGGACAGCAGCTGGAGCAGAGGGTGGGGCCCGGGAGGCACCCCAAGTTCCTAAGGGTTCAAGAGCTTCGGAGGGGTATCATTCAGGCAGCGTGGTCACGTCACAGTGCCTGAGCTGTCAAGGGATGGACAGTAGAAGAGGTGATTTGGGGGTCAAGGGAGAGGACCCTGGCAGGGGAATCCCTCTGCTGACTCCAGATTCATGACCCGGGTCAGTGAGACCTACAGCCTCATGGGGTGCATTGTTCAACCCCAGATGTCCATGGGGCTCCCAGGCAGACACTCCCACTCCAGTGGGCCCGCTCCCAAGCAGCCTCCCTGCCCTTGTAGTGAACTGGCACCCTGCTCTCCACTGTCATTTCTTCAACTAATGTTCACTGAGCACCTACTATGTACCAGGCTCTGTTCTGGACACTTGGAAAACAACAGTGTGTAAAAAATGGACAAAAATCCCTGCATTCATAGGGTTTACGGTCTGGTTCCCTTTGCTCTCCTTTCTGGCCATTTTTCATGGTTTGTGCTTGGTATTTATATCCTGTCCTTATTTCTCAAGGATCTTTCACTCTGAACTCTTCTATTTTATCTTTTAATCCTTACAGCAGGTGTTTTATTTTTTGCAAATTCAAACTATCAGGCAGCAGCAAACACAGCTTCCCTGACTTGCATTACGATTCCTCATGCTGTCCTCCAGAAGTTTCTAATCTCGTTGGGGAGACACCCACAGAAAGCCCACAGTCCGATGGAGAAGACAGTTCCTAGCCTCAGAGTCTGGAGACTGAGGGGGAGCAGAGCACAGACATTGAGAAGCAAGCACAAATTCGGTCTCCCCGCTGGGCCTCTGCCCTCCCTTGTGATCCTGGAGGAGTCACTTAGCTCCCTGCCAGGACTGATAAAAAGAAACCGAGACGTCTGGGTTTCACCCCCTCACTGGCGAGGGCCAAAGTAGCTTTTCTCAGACCGATTGCTTGGAAGCTTCCTAGAGCCTGGGGCAGAGAGAAGAGGGAAAGGGAGGTAGGCAGAGTTTGCCGCTGTGGGTGGGGTCTCCTGGAATAGCTGCCTTTCTGTGGGCCCCTGAAGTTTGGGCTCAGCCCTGCCAGTCATCTCTCCACCCCTGAAATAATAGGTCCCCAATTTCCAGATTCATACACAACTGGTCCAGGAACCAGATGCCAGTTTGTGAATTGCCAGGATGTGTTTGTGTAACAGTGAGAGTGCACCTCCAAATCTCTGTCTCTTTGCTCCATCCCGTCCACCATCCTGGCCACTACAGCCCTCATCTGGATCCCCACAACACAGGGCGTGGCACCGAGCAGGGACTCCACAGATGTTTGTTGAATGAATGAATGAGCCCCTTAGCTGGCCCCCCTTCCAGTACGTATCCTAAACTCGAACACGACTCCTTCATCTCGTGCTTTAGATTCCTCAGGGGCTCCCACTGCTCTTCCCGACCCACATCTTCCTCCAGCCTCACCTTCCACCCTCCTCCACCTCTTTCTGGCCACAGTGACGTTTCTCAAATGAGCCAGGCCTCCCCAGGGCCACACAGTCTCGTCTGCCAGGGATATGTCCTGCCTGCCTCCTGGCTATAGTCCTAAGACCTGCTGGGGTTCAAGGTGGGCATCAGCTTCTCTGGGAAGAGTTCCCCAATTATCTGCCCCCATTCTGAATTCTGGTCA